CCTGAGCTCTGGCTGCCCTAATACCTGACTCTCCCCTTGCCTCATTTAGGGCCTGGCATTTCGGAAGGGCACCCACCAGCTGTACAGCACGTCCCACGACCGCTCTGTGAAGGCGTGGAACGTGGCCGAGAATGCCTACGTAGAGACCCTGTGAGTGGGAGGCTGGCTGTCTGGAACAGCACTTCCCATGGGGAGGAAGGCATCCCAGGCGAAACTCCTCAGCCAGGCTTTTGAGGTTCCTCGTCATTGGCCCCAGGCTCCATCTCGTCTCTAGCCTCCTCTCCCCGGAGTCCTTGACACTGATTGATCCTAGCATTGTGATATGGAAAGGAGCTGGGAGGGAGCTGAGGGCCAGGGAGGGGAAGGACGTGCCTGAGGCCTCAGAGTTAGGAGGTTTCTAGGATTTAGAGCAAGATTTCTTCATTTGACAGAGGGGGGAAAGTGGAACCTAGAGAGGCTGTGACTTTTAGCCAGGGGCACAGATGCTCCCCAAGCCACCACCAGTCTTTTTGCCCTTTCCCCAACGCGCCTCTTACCTGTTTGCACTCCCTGCAGTGCTGCTGCTGCCCTGGCCCCTTCCTTCCTTCCCATCCTTTAGAGTCTGACTGCTATGCACCCTGGGGTGCCCAGCCCCGCCTCTGCTCTGAGCTCTGGTTGCCCTGGCTGACCGTGCCCTCCAGTGGCACTGAGCACACCTCTCACCCTCCCCCATCAGTCTCTCATTTCACTTTTCTGCTGCCTGTGTCTTGGCTTTCTTGCTGGACGTTAAGCTCCCCAAGGGCAGCAGTGGATTCAGAGTCCAGGGCGAGGCTTAGCACATTGGATCATTGAGCTAGAGTGGGAGGGGACCCAAGAGATCAGCCAGCCACAAAGAAGCAGCTCCCGGAGAAGTGACCTGTCCAGGATGATGCAGCCTGAGCACAACATCACGCGTGTCTTCTGACTTGATGAGGCTCTGCACCCTAGATGCTGCTTTGGGGCTGATCCTTTCTCCTCTCTTTGCCCCAGTTTTGGGCACCAGGACGCTGTGATGGCCCTGGATGGACTGAGCCGGGAGAGCTGCGTGACAGCAGGTGGCCGTGATGGCACCGTCCGTGTCTGGAAGATTCCCGAGGAGTCACAGTTGGTCTTCTACGGCCACCAGTAAGCGGGTGGGAATGAGGAAGAACATGTGTGTCATACCAACCTCCCCAAATCAGGGAGGGACCTGGGGAGGGGATGGTGTGGCTTTCCTCTCAAACCCCATTTCTTCTTTCAGAGGCTCTATTGACTGCATCCAGCTTATCAATGAGGAACACATGATATCTGGTTCAGAGGATGGGTAAGGGTTCCCCCAGCAGCCACATCCTCCTCCCCACCCCCACCAGTATGTGAACAGATGCACTGTCCCCTGCCTGGTCACCCTCACTTCAGCCCTTCCTGCCTTCCATCTCCCCCGCTAACTTCACCTCCCTGTCTAAAGCTCGTTGGCTCTGTGGGGTCTCTCCAAGAAGCGGCCTCTCACCCTACAACAAAAAGCCCATGGGATGCGTGGAGAAGAAGGCTTGGAGCAGCCGTACTGGGTGTCATCGGTGACAGCACTGCTCAACACGGACCTTGTGGCCTCAGGTTGGTTTGAACCCCAGACTACCATGCAGGGATTTCTCCCCTCTCTGGGGCAGGCTTAGGGCCAGTGGCTTTCAGCAGCCTTGTGGGCTAGGCTGATGGCCTCCCCTTGCTTCAGTTGTTTCTATTGTTGTTTTGGTTTTTGTTTTATTATTTGGGGTTTTTTTAATTGAGGTCTGGAAAAATGCCTTCTTCCTTGAGTTCATAACACCAGGTGTAAGGGCGCTCATCGTCTCTAGCCCTTGAAGGTTGATAAAGCCCTTGCCTCAGGACAGAGGTATGAAGAGCCTCATACAGCTTAAGAGACTTGCTTCCAATCTTCTCACTCTCCTCATCCCAGTCCGAGGAGCCCTGGTTAAATCATAGAACCTGAAAGGCCAGACCTTTGTCTAGTAGGAATTCCTAACAAACTGGTGGCCTGCTAGCCTCTGCCCAAGGAGAAGCCCGCTGCTCCCCCACAGGAGATGGAGAGCTCACTGCCTCTGGGGGCGGCCCCTCCAACACTAAGCAGCTCTGAGGGTCAGGAGTCGGCCTTCCTGCTGCTTCTGCCATTGCTCCTAATTTGGGGCTCAAGTAAGACAAATCTGATCCCTCTTCTACCTGGCAGCCCTTTGGATAATCCAGAGCAGATGTCCATGAACCCTGCCCATCTCGGTTTTGTTTTTTGTTGTTTTGTGGTTAGGCAGTTGGGGTTAAGAGACTTGCCCAGGGTCACACAGCTAGTAAGTGTCAAGTGTTTGGTCTGAGGCTGGATTTGAACTCGGGTTCTCCTGGCTTTAGGGCCGGTGCTCTATACACTGCGCCACCTAGCTGTCCCTTAGCTCGTTTACCCCGTGCCCAGATGGTTTGGTTTCTGGCCTTCTTGCCATCCTGGTCATGTCCTCCAGATTGTCATAGAATGTGACCCCCTGGATGCTCATGTGTGCTCATGGTCTGGCTGCTGCTCGAATGTGGGCCCAGGCCGTCCTGGGGGAGCCTTGGTGAGGGCCCTGCTCCTGCAGAACTACAGGAAAGGCTGCCGTCCCTTGCAGCGATGAGCAGCCGCGTATGACCCCACAGAACTAGGCAGCCACCCCCCTTAGAGCCTCAGAGGCAGGAGGCTGAGGTTCAAGCTCTGGCTCTAGGACCTGGGGGCAAGGTAGTCGCCTCCATCGTGCCTCAGTTTCCTCATCTGTAAGCCTTCCTTCTGGCACTGACTTTGAGTCTGCTGACAGTGTTGTTAGGGTTTTTTGTTTTGTTTTACAAATAAGGAAACTGAGGCTCATGGAAATTCAGCCTCTGGGCCCAGTCCAGTATTCTCCTTTAGAAACCCTGAGAGGGCGTGGGATCCCAGGATTTCTAGTGGAAAGAGCAGTAGTCCAGCTCTCTTATGTTGCATGTGAGGACACTGAGCCCCAGAGAAAGGAAAGGAATGACCTAAGGAAACATGGATTAGTCTCTGGAGTGTTATCTACTTGGCCAACAGCAGTGCCCTCCGGGCATGCGGAGATTGGAATTAATCTCCTGACCTCACATCCACGTTCCCTGTACTCAGTTTAGGACTCTTTGCTCTGGGAGCTACAAAGATAAATAAGATACTGTCCTCAAGGAGCTGCCAGTCTGGTAAAGAGAGAAGATGCACGCATGGCCAGAGCACTAGGGGATCAGAGGAGGGAAAATTCACTTTGGGCCAGAGTGTTCAGGGAAGTGCTCTTGAGGGACAGTCTGGAAGTTGGAAGGGCCCTTAGGCATCCAGTGGGTGCACGGCCACCCAGACCATGCTATTGGCCAGTGAAATGTCAAACTCCTGAGACCGCCGTGGCGCATGAGGTGAAGACCAGAAGTCAGGGAGAGGAGGTAGAACCTGGGGGTTGGGAGTGCAGAAGCAAGACATGAGGAAGAAAAATGATTTATTGGGTTTTTGAGAAGTGACTTGAGTTCTGCTAGAAATTTTAATGGACCAGGAGAAATGTGCTTCAGAGAAGCAGCTGGGAAATGTTGCCCTTTCATGGAGGAGGCAGTGCCTGAGCTGGGCCCAGCTTTCCTGGGAAAGATTGATCAGCAAGCAGAATTCTGCCTGGCCCCAAGGGGCAGAATGAAAAACAGAGGGTAGAGAAGGTGTAGTGGGCATTTTGGTGGCCGCTGCCGGGAGGAAATGGGGACTTGTGAGGCTCATGGCCATTGAAGGGAGGAGGTTGGCACAAGTCCGTTGGGTGATTCAGTTTGGCCAGACTGTAGAATCATTGTTTGGGATGTGGTTGGGGGACAGCCTTTCATTGATGTAGAGAACAGTAATTGAGGAAACCCCCCTTTATCCAGGCAGACGGTAATTGTTCTGCAACTCAAGTCTTAAGAGAGTTAATGTCTGGGACAGTGTTGGGCAGAACTGGCCAGTGCTGAGGACAGCTGTCCCCTAGGCCTTCTTGGGCACAGGGTGTCTGCCTTGAAAAAGAAAGGTCACGCAGCAGGGGGCTGGAGGTTTCTGGCTTACTTTCCCTACCTGGCCCCGTCAGTTTTTGTGTTTTCTCCTTCCCCACCCCCAGGATCTCACAGCTCCTTTGTGCGACTCTGGCAGTGTTCAGAGGGTTTCCGGAAGCTGGAACCACTCTGGGACATCCCTTTGGTGAGTAGTCGGCCCAGGTGAGGAGATGGGGGGCTCAGACTGATGGGAATGAGGTAGTATTCTGGTTCCCATTCACCCTTCTCCATCCTGCCCTTTAGGTTGGCTTCATCAACAGCCTCAAATTCTCCAGCACGGGAGACTTCCTGGTGGCAGGCGTTGGGAAGGAGCACAGGTCCGTAGTGTTGGGGAGCCCCGTTAGCCAGGTCCCTCTAGTCTGAGGCGGGAGCTGGTGGGGAGTGGGCTGGGACTAGAGCTGGGACAGTCGAAGGAAGTAGGCGGGGGACAAGCCGAGGAAGCTGCAGAGGGAAGGCCTCGAGGCCTCGGCCTCAGGTGCTCCCTCTCCCCACAGGTTGGGACGCTGGTGGCAAGTCAAAGATGCCAAGAACTCGGTGTGCATCATCCCCCTGCGGAGAGTGCCTCCTGCTGCTGCCGCGGGTTCCTGACTCCTTCTTCCAAAGCCCTTTCCTCTCTATTTAAATCTCTTCTCTGCCCCCACTGTTTGTATTAAATTAGCCTGTGGCTTGGTCCAGGCCCCAGATGCCCAGCTCTCGTCCCCATCACCTTGCGGAGCTTTAGTGCCTCACCCTTCACCAGAGGCCCAGAAGTGGAAATGGTTTCCCAGCCATGGGAGCAGAGAGGAGGAGAGACTTGGGGATGGACAGAGATGTGACATACGTAGAAGCAGCTGGCGAGAGCCAGAGGAGGAGGATGATAACCAGCATGTATGTAACACTTTAAGGTTTGCAAAGTGCTGTGTATGTGTGTATCCTCACTACAACCCTGTGAGGCCGATGCTGTTGTTAGCTTCAGTTTTACAGATGAGGAAACTGAGGCAAACAGGTTAAGTGCCTTGCCCAAGGTCACTCAGCTGATTAGTGTCTGAGGAGGATTTGACGTTGGGTCTTGCTGATTCTAAGCCTGGTGCCTGAGGCAGCACAGGGGAGGATGCAGGGCAGGAGGGAAGAGGTTGGGTCACACAGAATCCTTTATTGGAGAGGGAAGATCGGGCTCTAGGCAATGAAGACCCTCATGTCCATTGCCAGGCCTGTGGCCGTGATCTGGTAGTGCCCACACAGGAGCCCGCGGGCCAGGCAGCTGCGCCAGCGCGTCTGGATCAGGCGAGCCGCGGCCTGAGCCCTCAGGTAGCGCCGTCGCACTCGCCACATGTGGACCATGGCCTGAAGCTGCACCACGGCCCACTCTCGCCTTGTGTAGAGCTGCAGCGCTATCCAGCGACGCCGCTCTACTAATCGCACGTGAGCTACCCGCCACCAGCACTGGATGATCCAGGCGCAGAGGGCTGCGTGCAGCAGGCTCTGTCGCAGGAGGGTCCCCCGCCACCAGGCCTGGATCTTGATGGCTGCCTTGTCCTAGGCCAGAGTGGAGCAGGACAAGAGCCTACTCAGGCCCAGAGCCCCTCCCCTTGTTCCCCCCTTCTGTTATCTCTTACCTTTTGTCTCTGTCTTCACTGTCCCTGTCCTAGCTCTGTCATCCCCATCCTTAGACCCTGCCCGCATTCTAGGCCCTGGATGAGAACCTCACACCTTCTTACCTGACTCCTTTCACTCTCCCCAGAACCCTCCCTCCCTTTCTCTGGACACCACGTGGCCTGGGTCAGGCCTTGCTGTCCCCTTTACCACCATTGGGGGTGGGGGGGTAGCTCTAGGACTCCACAGAAAACATTCTTCCCCACTCCTGCCTGAAATGATACAAGAACTCACTGTGTTGTTCATTTGTTGATGATAATTTTTAAGGAGTATTAGACCACCTTTAAACATTCTCCTGGTTTGATAAATGCAGCCAGAGAGAGAATTTTGTTCAGCAATCCTCCAGTTCTGTACTGCAAGTGAAGTCTAAAGCAGGGAGAAGACTGCTAAGCAAAGGTATTGGCCTCCATCACAGAACATCTTATGCAGCTGAAGTGGAAGAAGGGTTCTTTATAGGCTACTGAGCTCCTCCAAATGCTTTTATTTTCTGATGATGTCTTGTTGATTGCATCAAGCCCCGGAGTCATAGGACCCCCTCCATGAAATTCATTCCCTTTCCAAAGTGGTCAGCCTAACAATTCAGTAGGAGAAAGCCAAATGCAAGAAGATGGGCCTATTGCCTGACACGCAGCTGGGAATGCGGTCCATTATGTCAGCACATACATCTTGAATAGGCACTGTAGATGGGCAAGGAGTTAGACCCACGTTCAGAAGAAGAGAGTGGATTGATTGAATTACATTTAGGTCTTGCACTTCTAATCATCTGTTCCCTGACAGACATAAAAACCCACCTTTGAACAAAAGCATCTTTCCAGCGATCCCCTGTGTCTACACAATATGGAATACCCACATTCCCCCCAAAATAAAGATGGGAGACTCAGGGCAGTGGAGACATACATGGTGGATGTAAGACAGCTACAGCATATTGAAGATTGGTTTAAGGGTTATTCAGGAAATGGAGCATCAGAAGAGGCAGATAGGGCCCATAGCAAGTGAAAGATAATCCAGATGCTGCATTGGTAACCCACAGAATGTGGACGTTGGGCAGCTGCTCCATGGAGAGCTTTTGGAAGTACCTGGATGCCAATAGTAAAGAATGAGGAAGTGTGAATGGGTGGCAATGCATACTGCTAGAGAGAGTATCCCCACTGACAGCAGAGCTCCACCAAGAACTTTTTAAAAAACATGTTCGATTGAATAGCATAGAAATGATGTCCTATGTTTCTGTATCCACCTACAAACCATTTTACTTTTCTGTTTATTTTTCCAGATTTTTTTTTTTGGTGAGGCAATAGGGGTTAAGTGACTTGCCCAGGGTCACACAGCTAGTGTCAAGTGTCTGAAGCCGCATTTGAACTCCAGTCCTCCTGACTCTAAGGCTGGCGCTTTATCCACTGTGCCACCTAGCTGCCCCATATTTTCCCAGATATTTTGCAGTTCTTATTCACATAGTGGTTAGTCAGTAAGAGGTAGCATGATATCAAGGAAAATGACGGGCTCAGGAGCCGGGTTCAGATTCTTTCCTTGGCCCTTTTGATCTGGAACAAGTCACTTCATTTCTCTGTGCCTTGATTTGCTCATGTATATAACATGATATGGTTGACTTTTACATCTTTAACCCTATTTTTCTCTACTTAAATGGGATGGTAGCTGCTTAAGGGGTGGGACAGCGTCCCTTTGTCCTTACTCCTAGCACCTGGCGCACAGGTTAATAAATTAATGAATTGATTTTTCCTCAGAGGCTCAGATGCTACCTTCTCCAGGAAGCCTCTTTTCATCTTTTCCACCATTTAACTTATGCCAGCTGTGGTTTTTCACTTCAGACCACTGCCTCCCTTAATCTATCCTCACCGTTATCCCTCTACACTCTCTTTTAGCCCCTTTCCCCTCTTACTTCTCTGTTGAGTAAAGGGAATTTCTATATCCAGCTGTGTGTGCATATAAACTCTTTCCTTGAACTAGTTTAGATGAGAGTAAAGCTCAAGCATTGTCTGCTCCTCATGCACCTCTCTTATGTGAGATAATTTTTTCCATTCTTCCTCTCCCTTCTCTCAGGGCATCCCTCTTTCTCATGCTTTTATTCTTTTGAGAACATGTCAACATAATATATTCCTTCTAATTGACCTACTGATATTCTTAGGGGTTACATGTATCATCTTGCCATATGGGAATGTGAACAGTTTAACCATGTTAAGTTCCTTGTGATTTCTCATGCATCTTTACCTTTTTATGTTTTTCTTGAGTATTATGTTTGAATGTTAAATATTCTTTTTCAGCTCTGGTCTTTTGATTAGGAATGCTTGAAAGTTCTCTATTTCATTAAATATCCATTTGTCTCCTGAAGGATTATACTCAGTTTTGCTAGCTAGGTTATTCTTGGTTGTAATCTTAGGTTGTTTGCCTTCTGCAGTATCATATTCTAAACCCTGCAGTGCTTTATAGCTGCATCCTTACTGTAGCTCCATGGCATTTGAATTATTTCTTTCTGGCCGCTTTCAGTATTTTATTCTTGACCAGGGAGCTCTGGATTTTGACTGTGATATTCCTGGGAGTTTTCCTTTGGGGATCTTTTTTGGGAGGTAATCAGTGGATTCTTTCCATTTCTGTTTTGCCTTTTAGTTTTAGGATATCCAGGCAGCTTTCCTTTATAATTTCTTGAAATACTATGTCTAGGTTATTTTTTTGATCATGGCTTTCAGGTGATCCAGTTATTCTTAAATTATCTCAATCTATTTTCATCAGTTGTTTTTCCTATGAAATATTTCAGTTTCTTCAATTTTTTTCATTCTTTTGACTTTGTTCTATTATTTCTTGATAGCTTATGTAGTCATTAGCTTCCCTTTGACCAATTCTAGTTTTTAAGGAGATATTTTCTTCAGTAAGGTTTTTTTTTACCACTTTTACCATTTAGCCAATTCTAGTTTTTAAGAAGTTATTTTCTTCAGTATTTTTTGTGCCTCTTTTACCAAACTGTTGTCTTCCATAATTTTCTTGCATAACTGTCATTCCTTTTCCCAATTGCTCTTTTATTCCTTTAGCTTTTCTAGGAACTCTTGTTGGGCTTTTGTCCAATCTGCATTCTGCCCCCCTCTCCATCACCACCCAAGGCTTTGCTTGTAGATGTTTTCAAGTCATTGCCCTCTTCTGACTTTCTATCTAGAGCTCCCCTGTCACCTTAGTAGCTTTGAATGGTCAGGTTCCTTTTTTGTTGCTCGCTCATTTTTCCAGTCTATTTCTTGAATGTGGACTTGATGTTAAGAGTTGGATGATTGGCCAGGGCTTCTATGATGTCCTGCTTTTTGCAGCTTGATCTGAGTTCTGTAGTGCCCCCAGAGTGATGTGAGAGGTCTGGTCACTGCCCTCCAGGTCCACGCTCTGCTTGTACCAGGTAGGGCCGCTGTTCCCTCGTGACGGTGACCTCGAACTGGATTATTGGTGACAGCAGTCAAGTGGCATCCAGTCCTGTGCCCAGTGCTAGCATGGGGTTCCTATGAGTCCTCTTTCTGACCAAGTGTTCAGTCCCTGTGCCAGTAGCAGACCAGTCAGATGAGAGCTTGCACAGGAGTGATGGCATTCAAGAGAAAGGAAGGATCTGGATGTGAGACACCCAGAGGTGAGAATGACCAAAACTTGGGAAAAGGATTGGATGTGGGAGTAAAGGTGTTTGACCCTGGCGAGTTGGGGAAGGGTGGTGATGCTGCCAGCAGCAGAAATACAAAAGTTGAGGAAAGCTGGTTGATGACTCTTGAGACGCCAGTGGCATTCTCAAGTGGGTGTGTATCTGGTTAGTAGTTGGAGATGGATCTAGGACCTCAGGAAACAGGTTATTCAGGGCTGGAAATCACATTTGGCAGTCAGAATCAGTTGGAAGGGACCATAGGTCTGGAGCTGGAAAGTACATTGTAGTCCAGTGCCCTCGTTTTACAGATTAGAAAGCAGGCTAAGAAGGGTTAGGTAGTGCCAGAAGAAGAACTTGGACTCGGGTCTTCCTGACTACAAACCCAGTGCTCTAGCCACCTAGGTACCTTATACCTGACCAAGAATCCTGTCTCAAATAAAGCTTGAAGACTTTAAGAAAGACGGCTGATTTCACTTTTTGATCATTCTAATTTTTAGAAAGTTTTTCCTTGTAAGAGCTGAAATCTGCTTCTAAAATTTCTACCCATTATTCTCTCTTCCTTGCACTCCCTCCAAATACTTGAGAGTGACTGTCATGTCCTCCCCTCTGGTAGCTCTCCTTGCAAAGCCTTGTTTCTTCTCCAGGTTAAACATCTTGAGTTTCTTTGGTTATCCTTTTATGGACGTGGCATTTAGTCACCTCACCATCGTGATCTCCATCCTTTGGATACTCTCCAGTTCATCAGCGCTCTCTTTCTAAAACAGCTCCCAGAGCCGAGTGGGATGTCCCAGATCAGGCCTCCTCACCACCCCCACCAAGCAGAGGACAGTGGGATTTTTAGCTGTCATGCTCTAAATGTGTTTCAGTGCATCACAAAATGTGGCGATCTTCTGGCTGCTGTGTTCCCTCATTGTCTAGAGTTTGCAGTCCACTAAGATCTCCACTTTCTTTTGGATTTGAGCCCACGCGTCCGACTTTATGCTAGGGGAGTAGATGAGATCACCGAGGAGAAGGCATAGAGACAAGAGGGGGTCACATCTACATTTTGAGGGAATGAAGAGTCAGTGAAGGAGATAGTGGGCCTGAGGATGTCCTTTATTGGGCAAAGGAGGTCTAGTGCCCTCTCCCCACCAGGCCCAACTGCCCCTTAAACCATTAGGATTTTGGTGTCAAATGCCAGACATTTGCATGCCGCCTCAAGCTGGCTGGGTACATTGTTTTTACGCCTCTGACAACCGTGCTGCCAGCAAGACTGGATGAAGCAGGTGGCAGAGTGGCGGCAGTCCTAGTGGATGTGCCACGTGTGGGTTAGTGTTGGAGCTTCACCAGGGCCCGCTCCTGTGGGGCACACAGCAGTAGCACTGCCTGTCACCTTCTCTCCACTAGTCTTGCATATGCCATCCACCAACACTGCCTGATCCAGGCTTGGAGGGATGCGTGTAGCAGTGCCCATTGGACCAACTTTCCTTGCCACCATGCCTGAATCTTCCAGCTCACAGCTTCCTTCGTCTGTATCTGTTGCAGTGAGTAGGTAGGGCAGAGCTAGGAGGGACTCCTTGGCCTGGCAGAAAGCACCCCGACTCCTCTCCTACCTTACTGGAGGAGAATCCAATGTTCTCACGTCAGGCCCAGTCTTGAGCTCCCATGGACTCATCTCCAGTCCCCATCCTATTCCCAGACATCTGACGCCTCTAATTTTCCACTCCCTACCAGCTGCACATGACCTATGATTCAAGGCTTGCCACGTCTTCCTTCCTCCACCATCTGTCCAAGACACAGTCAAACACAGCTCCCTGGTGCCAAGAAAGTGTGCTACTCAGAGCTCTGGATCCCCCTACAGGACTGATTCCCTCTTCTCCAGCCTGAGAGATGATTTCTGCCCCCTCCCAACCCACCCTAAGGAAATGCCCAGTCTTCACCTACCATGTTTTTTTCTTCAAAGTCGTTACATTCATTTTCAGATTCTTTACTACACTGCTGTGCCACAAGCGGGGCAAGAAAAGGAAGGAAAGGGGACAGATGAGAAGAGTGGGCTGGGAGATGCTGGCATTGAGTGGCCATTCTTCCTGTGGCCTAGCCCCTGGCCCCTAGATCCCAGATTTACTTAGAGCCTTCCAGAACCCGCTCTCTCGCCTTTCTAGGTCAGTCTGTCTTTCCCTCCCACCACCCTCCCCACCAGAAGCAGGATCTCCAGGATCGAAAGCTGCCACCCCACTCTCCCTCCACTTTCCAACCTAGCCCAGCCCTTACACAGGCTACACATCCCATGGTGTGGAGGCAAGTAGCTGTCACCCTCTGACCTGCTTTGACAACCGTGGCCTGGTCTAAGCAGGAGAGCTAGGAAGTGCCTATGAGGTCATAAAGGGGTGCCTGACTCAGGGACTTTGCTGTATCCTTGATCGTGACAAACCCCTTTCCTTTCTCCCCACCCTCCTTGAAGTATAGGAAGCTTCTGGCTGTGGTCAGACACTCAATGGCAGAACAAAGACCCAGACTGAAAGACAGGACACAAGATCCATTCCGGTGACCATCCATACAAGGTGCAGGATGGGGGAGGGAGAAGGGATCTGACTCCAAGATGCCTCTGCAATGAGGCTTTAGGGCTCCATAAAATTGAAAAGAAAGAGCGCTGAGAGATTAACCGGCAGTCTACTCCTGCCAGACTAACTCCATTCCCTTTCTGTTAAACAGAGTTAGAAGGGTGACTCATTGTAGGGATCCTGGACATCTTGGGTTTCGATGAAGCTTCTCTTGATTTCCTTTTGGACAACATGAATGGCTGTTGACTAGATGAAAATGCAGTTGGATGGATTCATGACTAGTGGAAGGACTGCAGCGGCCAAAGTCAGCCTGGACTGTGATCTTTATCTAGCAGTGCCATAATGTTCTGTCCTCTGGATCCTTCCTTAGACCTTCCATGCTTCCTTTCCTCCTACTTTCAGCTGAGGTCCTTGCTTATTTTACAGAAAACATTGAGGCCGTTCATGTCAAGCTCTTCTCTTCTCCCACATCCTCCTCCCATCATTCACACTCTCCTCCTTTACCCCTATCTCATATGATGAAGTGGCATTACTCCTTACCAAGGTGAATAAAATCCTTTACTTATTCGCGTGATCCCATCTCATCTTCTCGGACAGATTATCCTCTCTGTTGTCCCTACTCTATCGCTTATTTATTAATTTGTTTTTGGCAATCGGGGTTAAGTGACTTGCCCAGGGTCACACAGCTAGTAAGTGATAAGTGTTTTGTCTGAGGCTGGATTTGAACTCAGGTCCTCCTGACTTCAAGGCCAGTACTCTATCCACTGCGCTCTATCACTTATTCTTAATCCCTCTCTACTGGTTCCTTCCCTATTGCCTACACACATGCCCATGTCTCCTCTGTTCTCAAAACAAAACAACAAAAAAGCACCTTGATCCTTCGACTCTTGCTAATTATAATCCTATGTTATCTGTCTTCAGTCCTTTGTAGCTAAACTGAAAAAGACTGCCTAGTAGGTGCCTACACTTCCTCTCCTCCCACTTTCTTCTTAACCCCTTACAATCTGGCTTCTGACCTTATCCCAATGAAACTGCTCTCTCCAAAGTTACCAATTAATTGCCAAATCCAATGGCCTTTTCTCTACTGAATTTTTTTGTTTGTTTGTTTTGGGTTTGGCAATTGGGGTTAAGTGACTTGCCCAGGGTCACATAGTTAGTGTTATGTGTCTGAGCTCAGATTTGAACTCAGGTCCTCCTGAGTCCAGGGCCAGTGCTCTATCCACTGTGCCACCTAGCTGCCTCCAGTGGCCTTTTCTCAGTCCTCATTCTCCTTGACCTGTCTGTAGCCTTTGCCTCTGTTGATCACCCTCTCCCCCTTGAGATGGTTTTTGGGACACCACTCTCTCCTGGTTCTCCTCCTACTTATCTGACTGCTCTTTCTCTGTCTCCTTTGCTGGCTCCTCCTCCAGATCATGCCCTCTAAATGTTAGTGTCCCTCAGGGTTCTGTCCTGGGCCCTCTTCTCCCTCTATACTACTTCACTTGGTGATCTCATCAGCTCCCATAGATTTAATTACCATCTCTATGCTAATGATTCTCAGATGCCCCAGCCTCTCTGCTGACCTCCAATCTTGCAACTGTGTTTTTTGTGTTTGTTTTTTGGTGAGGAAATTTGGGTTAAGTGACTTGTGCAGAGTCACACAGCTAGTGAGTGTTATGTGTCTGAGGCTGGATTTGAACTCAGGTCCTCCTGACTCCAGGGCCAGTGCTCTATCCATCTGGCTGCCCCTGCTACTGGTTTTAACAAAGAATCTGCCACATTTTGAACTCTTGGAATGGTACACTGGTCCACTTTGGTCCTCTTATTCAGTCTTGTAGTTCATACAAATTCATCCTTTCTCATACTTCTATATAAGGGGTGCATCCCTACAAGAGATACTTAAAACCTGTTAACATCATTGAGCAACAATTATATCTGGGGTGTTTTACCACAGATCAAAGAATCAATCTAGACCTCTCAGGATTGTTGGAAATCAGAAAAATGTATTATGTGAGTTACTTCTCAGACACACCCCAAATCTCACCCTTGCCATGGAAACATCTGTTCTCCTGCTGAAGTTCTCTCTCAACCAGTCGTTCCACCCTTTAGGCCCTGTAGGATTACCAGGATGCTTTACTAAAATGGCTGACCCGTGCTCGGCTACCACTGGCCCCTATTATCCTAAGAGCTTCTGCACAGACGCTTAGAAAATCTGGTATTCAGGTATCAATCACTTCCTCACTTGCTGCTTTGCAGCATCCTGCTAAGACCTCGAAAAGGTCAAAGTTAATTCCAATCAATGCTAACATTCTGGAGATAGTTGCTACATCTGGGATGAATGAAAATGCATTTATTAAGCATATACTGTGTTCCGGGCACTGTGCTAAGCACTGAGGACACAAATACAAAAATGTGTCCCCCTTCTCTCGAGGGAGCTTACATTCTAATTGTCCCTTTTTCACTTGTGTCTGACTCTTCATGACCCCATTTTGGAGGTTTTCTTGGCAAAGATACTGGAGTGATTTTCTATTTCCTTCTCATTTTACTGATGAGGAAACTGAGGCAAATGAGATAAAGTGACTTGTCCAGGGTCACACAGCTGGTAAGAGTCTGAGCAAGATTTGAACTCGTGAAGATGAGTCATCCTAATTCCCAGTCCAGTGCTCTATCCACTGTACCATCTAGCTGCTCTTTATATTCTGATAGGGGGAGATAACATATCCATGACTAGGGAAAGGAATTTACTAAGGTGTAGGGAGTCAGCAGGGATGGTGGACGGAACTATCAGTGGAGAACTGTCATGCCTTTTCCAGAAGCAAGGTAGTAATTTGATTACCATTCCCAAAGCAAGAGGTGGAAAATGAAGACGGGTTAGTGCATGGTGGTGTGATAGCTGTCTAGAGGCTACATGTGAAACGAGGACTGGGTAGACTTGGAAGTAAGTTAAGTGTGTTACACTGATTCACTCACCCTCAGCCCCAGAGTAGGAATTCCAAAACTGAGTGGATTAACTCACACAGGAAAGGAATGGGTAGGTATAAGTCTGGAGGTGCTGTTCCAGGGAAGACCTGAGCCATAGCATCTGCTTAAGACACAACCATCAGGGTATGCCAAATATGGAAATATTGATAGGCCTTTCACTCCATCTGCCCATTGATAGGCTGTGAAGATATTTTCCTCAAATGTGGTTCCTAAAATAACTGGCATTCAGTGGGTCACTTGAGATCCACTCTCTGGCAAGCAGAGCACTCCATGCTGTCCATCTTCACTGTCACTTCTGTACGAGATCGTCTGAGTGCCAGGTTGTGGAGCCACAAAAAATTGATGCCTTGTGTCTTCAGCATCTGGGGTGGGGCTAGGGAGTGGCGGGACTTCTGTCCCTGGACTAGACTCTGTTTCCTAAATTGGAATTCAGGAATTCCAGTTGAAATCCCATTTGGGACTATGGCACACCTTTGTATTCTGTTGAATGCATCCCTCCCTCCGCACGAGCATCCTGGCCCTGCTGGTATTACTTTAGTGGCTCGTGGGATTCTTCCTTCAACGACTGTGACCTTTGTTTTCCCTAATCCTTTGTCTTCCCAAACACAATGGTATTTGCTCCTTGATCCCATTTCTTGACAGGTTTTCTGCAGAATTCTGCCCTTAAACCTATACAACCAGTGGAGAACTTCTTCCTTTGCTTCTGTGGCCCACACAAGAGAAGCTGTTCCCCAGTCGGTTTGGAGTTGGATTTTTCTGAATCTGGCCATTCTCTGAGGGAGGTAGTAGGAAAAGTACAACTCCTCTCTCTGACACTTACTACATATGTAAGCCAGGGCAGGTCATTTAACCTCTGGGGGCTTGTTTCCTCATCTGTAAAATAAGGGACTCCGACTAGAAACCTTCTGGATAGATCAATGATCTTCAGGCTCAAAGACCAATTTGGAGGGGGCAGCTAGGTGGTGCAGTGGATAGAGCACCAGCCCTGGAGTCAGGAGGACCTGAGTTCAAATCCAGCCTCAGACTAAACACTTGACCCTTACTAGGTGTGTGACCCTGGGCAAGTCACTTAACCCCAATTGCCTATTTAAAAAAAAAAAGACCCATTTGGATGCTCTTTTCCTCTGTAATAATTAGCATTTTCTATAGCCCTTTGAGGTTTGTAAAGTGCTTTACACATGTTCATTCATTTAATCCTCACACCGAGGCAGGTACTTATTACTAAGTCAAGTTACCAAGCATTTATTAAGCACCTACCATATATGCCAGGCACTGTGCTCTGGGGATACAAAAAAGGCAAAACCAACACCTGCCCTCAAAGAGCTCACAGTCTAATGGGGGAGACAACATGCAAACAAGATTTGTTGTTCAGTCCTCTCTGACTCTTTGTGATATCCCATTTGGAGTTTTCTTGGCAAAGATACTAGAGTGGTTTGCCATTTTCTTCTCCAGGTCATTTTACAGGTGAGGAAACTGAGGCAAATAACATTAAGTGACTTGTCCAGGGTCACACAGCTAGCATGCGTCTGAAGCTGGATTTGACCTTGTGAAGATGAGTCTTTTTGATTCTAAGCCCAGTGCTTTATCCACTGTGCCACCTAGCTGCCCACAAAGGTATATAGAGGATAACCTGAAGTTCATCTCAGAAGGGGCGACCTCACAAAAGAGGAAACTGAGGGCCATTTCCTGCATTTCTTCTCGTTTTCCTCCCCTAGTGCTTGTACTACCACTGTTCCCTTCCAGCCAGAAATCTATAATCCTTTTGATCCTGCAGGCACCTCATCACCCACCTACTCTGTTCTGACTTTGCCTCTGTGGGTTGCGCTGCTCCTCTTTCTACCTGCTTC